CATACATTGAACCCTTGTGGTAGGACACCAGTCTGTCTTTAAGCATGGTGTTCTGATGTTGCCAGGTGAAGAGAAGGAGTTGCTAAGGAGTCTCTACAGTGGGTTTCTGCCTACAAAGAACACACAAAGGGAGTGTAGCTCACTGTTTCAGCAGGCGCTTGGCACATTGGTTCTGGACTCAATTCTCAAAGCCAAAAAATGATTACGAAAAGAAATTAGTATTAGCACCATTAGAAACACTGACCAAGTCCAAGACGGTTATCTCTGTATGCTGAAGGCCTTGGCATCGATAACCCATGCTCAAAGTCACTAGGTGGTTTGTAGCCAGGGGTGACACAGGAAGCGCACTATGGCGGATTATGGTTGTACATGTTTGTGCCCAGAAGATGATTATTTCTTCTTGTCTTCAGTAGAGTTCATCATAGGGAGAATGCATGAACTTAAATTTAGTCCCATCTATTGGCTTTCAAATTTTCCTTTGAAAAGTACAGGCTGGGTGTGGTGGTTGGTGAGAACGTAAAGAGCACCTATAGCTGTAGCACTCAAGAAGCAGAGGCAGGAGGGTTAGACATTAGAGGTTATCCTGGGCTCGTCAGTGAGAAGCATCAGCTGTTTGTTAGACAGGCATACATGAAGACCTTCCCCATGCCCTCCAAAAAGAGTGTTGTAGATAAACAACAATTAATTTAGACACAGGCAGTAGATGCCCAACAAAAACTCACAATGGTGCACCATAAAGACCCAACTGCCTATCTACAATCCCTTCCGTATTCGTTTTAACTAGAAAATTATATGTTATATGATGTGAACCACGCAACAGTTTCAACCACCACCTCAAAAGTTATTAATACCTCAAGTTTAGAGTATTTAGATGTGTGTTGTATTGATCACTTTTTGGCATCTAGATGTCCCTGTGGGTCGCCTAAACCAATTTCCCAAGCTATGAACTCAAGTGGGTTTGCTCCAAAAATCACACTCTAGAACTGTATATACAATCATGTCTATTTTACTCCAATTAAAATTTTCTAAAATAAGCTCACAATGCTTCTTTAGATACATTGGGCACATTTCAAGAAACAATAGCATTGAATGACTAGTAGCTACAGTACTGGGGGATTCAAGTTACATAGGACTGTCCTCATCACAGAACATTTTCTGGGATCAAACTATGGAGCTTCAGTAAAACCCAGAGAGAGGATCCCACGGGACTGACCATTCATCGAAGGACTTGGAGCTCAGCTCAGCTCAGGCCAGTGAGAACCAGGCCTGTGACTTTGGGAATGTAAAGAGGAGTATTCTCATGGCTGTTGAAATTAGAGAAAGCAGAGTCAATCGGAGGAGTAAAACAGCACTTATGTGATACCACCTTCCTTGGGGGTATCACATAAGTGCGAGACAGAGGGAGAAAGACTCTTAGCCTCGGTGACTGAAGGTTCTATCTGTAAGCTATAAAAGCTAGTATGTTTCCTTCTTGCTCAAGGTAACACAGGTCGGTTCTGCAGTTCTGATGTACAACATCGGGGAATATTGACAGAACTGAACATGCATAAATTGAAAAGAAATTTGGTGGTCTATCTACTTGTTAGTGCCTGCAAGGCACCAAAGTGACCCTGAGGATAAAAAGCAGGTTTTGAGTCAAATTTTGACTGAAGTTCAAAGATGAGAGTCGTATTTCCATATGCATAAATGTGTGTTATCGTCTGTCAGCAAAAATAAATAGCACAAATTTGACTTAGTTTACTTTCTGAAGTGCTATAATCAGATCATCTAGAGGAGTTTATTATAACTGGCAGTCTCTTAGAATCTTGCAAAGTGGCATATATTTATACTGGTATATAAAACTTGGCGTATATTTTCCCCACATTCATTGGGAGCTTAAGTTCACTAGATTTCCTTTATTGGTGTGCAGGTATTGGAGAATGTTTTATTACATGCTTAAAGTGTCTTTTGGTGAAGCATATTTTCACCTAATGATTGCACTAAATAGCCCTTTATGTTGAGTAGTAGTAAGTTAATTTATTTATATTTCTGGGGGATGAACCTAAGTACGTTAAGTAAGTTGTTTTACTGAGCTACGTCCTTCTGTCTTTTGTAATTTGGACAGGGACTCACTAAGATGCTGAAATTGTCTTGAACTCACTCCATAGTTTTCCCAGGTCTTAAACTTGTGATCCTCCTGCCTTGGCCTTGTGGGTAGCTGGAGTTACAGATTTGTATTCTCTTGCTCAGCTTAGAGTAGTACTCCTTATGAGATTGCCTAAAGAAATTTAAACATAACTAAAATTACAGAGTATCATATTTAATTTCCCTTTTTTTTCATCTCTTGTTTGTGCCCAATTTTATATTTACTATGAACTATTTTGATCATTAGGGAAGGACTTAAACGATTTAAAGTGGATGAGTGGGCCAAATGTGAAGAACCAGCTTGCTGGCATTAAGTAAACCCTGCTTTCCTTTCAGTGAGGGCCTTTCCAAGGACTTTTCCAACCGTTTGTCACGCAGAAAGGAGAACCATGGCCCCTAAGCCGAGCTGAGTTCTCTGCTTGCACTGCTGATGGTCTCAGCAGCAGTGCTGTCTGCATAGGCGGTCATGATATTTCCATAATAAAGCACCATTAGCACAAAGGGAAATGCCCAGAAAATAGATTTGTTTCTGCAGATGACAGGCGTCTGGATGGGGTACCTGGACGTGTTTCACGATGAAGTTTCACCAAATCCCGTTTTCTCTGCTGTCCAGTCTTTTTGCAGGTCAGAAGGTAGAAGATTGCCTGTTTATAGGAAAACTCCCTCAGGAATCAGTGGGAGATGTTCAAACACACTCAGAGTCAATGTGCTGACAATGATCAGGGAAAAAAAGATGAACCCCAGGAGCATCTGGGCTGTGTACAAAGAGCCATCACATCTCAGACTCGGGGAGTGATATATGACCCACCTGGAAAAGCGCATTTAGCTTGGATAAGCTTGATTCCAGAAGTACAGGGACAGTTGGAGAGAGTTAAGAGAAAACTGTTTTGAATGATGAGGTGACTCGGGAGGTGAGGTTGGGAGAGGGGCTTGGGAGGAAAGATTAAAGCAACTGACTAAGGAACTTTTAAGATTTGACATGATAAGAGCCAACAAATATTTGAGAATAGCAAATACCAAAGAGACACTATTTGGAGTGGTAAAAACTATGGCAAGAAAGCAATCCTGAAAATGCTAACATTCTGGTGATATAAGAAAGGGAGAGGGGAACGAAAAACTCTAGTAACTCTGGAATATTCTCCCGAGAGCTTAAGAAGCTTTAATTCATATCCCATTTGTTACAAAATACAAAGAAAACCCTGGGTGTTGGGGAAAAAAGACGATTATAAGGGGAGGGTGGTGGATTATGTTACTGGAGACATTCTCCCCTGCTTAGTAGTTCTATAAATCTATTAAATACCAAACACTAATTTATGTTGAACCTTGCAGTACAGTAAGGTTTAAAACAAACCCTGAAAGATTCCATTATTTCACAGTTTGCCCTTAGATCCCTGACTGTCACAGGGGAGAAGACAATTTTTAATCTGTTGTTTTCCAAAAACAGTTCAATTAAAAATAATAAAAAAATCTGAAATCCTGCCCATAAGGGTTAATAGCTATAGAGGTGTCCAACCGATATTCAATCACAAAACCTCAAATGCTCTTTTCATTAAGCCTCTGGTGTCATTTTTTTCCCCTAGCTAAACCAAGATAATTGTTTTGGGGCTAATTTCTGCGGCTATTTAATAACACCGCCTGCTAGACTTTCCATGTAAACTCAGCAAGTGGACATATCCGGAGTAATAGAAAAATACTTGTGCTTGCTTTATAGCTCAGATCCATACTTTTCTTTATGAAAGAGAACTTGCTGTTAGGAAGAGGCAACTGCCATCCAGACTATGTTGTGGAAGACTGGATCAGGAGACAGACCTGATGGTGCAAGAGAGGCCCAGCTCTCCACCAGGATTTGTGTGCAAAGTCCATCAGTTCGTACTTCTGTAGATAATGAAATGGACACAAAACACTTGAAGCGGTTTTTTGTTTTTGTTTTTGTTTTTGTTTTTGTTTCTCTTTTTGTTTTTCAGTCAACAAAATAATGAACAGGGCACCCAAAAGGTGGTGTGATACCCTTTGGCATTCATATAAATGGGCTTTTTGTCTTTTTCTTTTTCAGGTAATTCTTTCTAATGCTACATCTTAACAGCTGACTGCTCTACAGATTATGTCTAACATGTCTAACATGAACTGCAAAGGAGGTCGTCACACTTTCAGTTTTGTTAAGGGGAAATTTTTGCACTATGTTTCCTTGAGAAAGCATTGCCCATCTTTTGGAAGACTTGCTGAAGGAAAAGCACCACACATCCCCTGAACTCTGGGCAGGGCCAGAAAGGTATGCTTTTATAATCAGCTAACCACAAAATTAAAATTATGTAGATAGATCTACAATTATTCTTTTATGTAATCTGTGATGACATGTAAGGGTAAAGGTATGTTTTTGAAAAGCTGGCCCCTAGAGAACATATGTTTTTGGGTTTGCTAATCCACCTTTCTCAGCATTAGTCAATGACTATAACAGAAACAGTCAAGAAAAATGCTCCATTGGGCAGCGTATAAAATGCATTCTTCTCCTTCTGCTACTGTCATCTTAGTCCCATATATTGTCCTGTGAAATTCCCATCTGTGTCAATGGAGAATCCAGGCACAGGGAAGAGGAAACCCAAAACTCTCATGACAGTGACAGAAATCTCCAAGCGAACCAAGAATGCAAACCAACTATGTGCTTTAACCCTGAGGTATTGTGGCCATCCATTATCCTGTGAGTGCGGGAACTTCAGTCCTGCGTGCTCATTTGTACCCAGGGATGACTAATACATGTGGGATATTCCCTTTGGTATGTTTAATAATTTTAGTCAAAATAGGAAGCGTACCTACAGTTCACCTCATGCCAAATCAAACAAGATTAGTCACACGAACTCTGCCTCGCTGATAGGCAAATTCTGATGGGGAAATGTCAAAACATGACACACAGCATTTGATTTGTAGTTGGCCTTCAGGGAGCCTTGGTGTGGCTCTTTCCAAAGGAGAGAAAAACCCAGCCAGGGACCCAGGGGTTTCTGGAAACTTCCACAGAAAGTCATGCATAACTGGTTCCCAACTGTCATCTAAAAGGCCTTTCTCTTGGAATACCGGAACACACTCAAGTGTCCCTGAGCACCCGTTTCTAGCCTTCTCTTTGGGAAGTCGTGATAACTCAGTGACAGCCAGAAGTGGAGGCAGAAAAATGACACTTATTGGAAGGCCACTAAGACCTTCCACAGGCTTCCCCAACCACTTGCAAGCCATCTCTGGTAGAGGCCTCACAACAGTCTTGTGAGTAACTCAACTTTCCCTATTTCAAGAGGAAGACTGAGAATGGTGGTGTGTGTGTGTGTGTGTGTGTGTGTGTGTGTGTGTGTGTAGAGGCTGATACTGAGTGTCTTCCTTAGTTGATCCCTACCTTATTTTTTTTTGTTTTTGAGACAGGGTCTCTCACTGAAACTAAAGCTTGCTGTTTTTCTAGATTGACTGACCACTTGACCCATGAACTCTAGAATGCCTGTCTTTGCCTACCCCCAGCCCCTAGCTAGGGATGACAGGCACACAATGTGCCTGCCTTTTACATGGGATGCTGAGGTTGGAACTCAGGCCCTCATGCTGTGATGGTAAGAACAGTGTTTTTGAAAATCAAATGCTCTGCCACGAAGCAGGACTGGAATGTACATTCAGCATTCTTGATGACTTCAAACATTGCCCTCTCTCCACTCTTCCTCATCAACACTACAAAATGTACCTTACCATCTGTATATACTTTTGGGGATAGACATTGATTTCCTTGTGTGTTTTTAGCCTATAATGCTGCTTTTGGTGGTTTTAGGCCGTTTTAGACTAATTTCTTTGCTGGTGGGGTTGGACAGTTCTTCTGTATGACCCTGTTAAATCACAGCTGGCTGTTCTGTACCTTCTTGTTACTGAGATGTTCGTTTTTTTTGTTTGTTTGTTTGTTTTTTCCTCCGAGTGCCAACCACACAGGGATGAGAAAAAAAGAGGTTCTCTAGTTTGTTGCTGAACTATAAAACTCAGACATGAGCTAATAACATCAAGAAACTATCCAATGAACACAGCTCTCGTCTGTCAGGTACTGTGCTGGACAGCTTGTGAACAGGAGCTAATTCAGTACTCATGACATGCAGAGCTGTGTCATTGTGACTGTGTGACCCATTTCACAGTGGCCCTAAACCCCCTGAGTCTGTCTCGGAACTGATCTGACACAGATCTGTCCCCTTGGTCTTTCTCTTTCCCGAGCTGCCTGTCATGTTTAGGAATCAGAAGACTTAGCTGAGAGACTTTACTTAATGTTACAAACGAACCTTTCTTCGTGTTAGAGACTAAGTGAAGGACACGAATAGAATATAATTGTCTGAACATCTTTCTTCCCTTCTTACTAGATAGCTGAAAATGATGTTGACCCTCTGGTCCCCTTCTTTCGCCTCCAGAGTGCTGGAATTATAGACGTGTTCCATTATACCCAGTTGATGTTCTGTTGGATTGAACTCAGGACTCTGCACACCAGGGAAACTGAGCCAGGCAAACTATCAGCTGAGCCCAGCCTCATCTCTTCTGCACCATTTTTTACATGGACTACTAAATATCAGCAGTGTCTGGGGCTTTAGAGTGATAAGGCCGTGTGTTCTCCAGTGGTACCCACCAGAACAGCACCTTGCTTTTCTTGTTCTTGTCAGCCTCAAAACCTCAGCTGTTAGCTCAAGCAAGTCCTCTCAATGCTCCCAGTAGGCCAAAGAGCTCTACTTCTTTGGCTTCTGTCTCTCAGTGGGCCCTGTGCTCTTGGTCTCATTAAAAGCTAATGAGAGAATTAACAGAGGGGTTAAGGCAAGCACTCAGTAGTGAGATGTGTCTGCACCCTGTGTATGTCTGTCTCATTCTTCTGAAGGTGAGGTGTGGGGTATACCAGACACCGTGCCAAGCCGAGAGCTCAGTACACTCTTCCTAAGTAGATGGTAAATTAATTCAAATACACTCGGGAGAAAAGTAGCCTTTTAAAATGTCCAGCCAAGTGATAAGACTCCAGGAGGGTGGTTTTACAGCATGGAAAGATGATGTTAAGGAAAGAAAAGGTGGGGCCACTGAGATGGCTCACTGGCTGAAGGAGCTTGCTGCTGAGCTAAAGACCTGAACTTGGTCCCTGGACTCATATGGTAAAAGGAGACACCAGACTCCTTAAAGCTGTCCTCTGATGCCCACACGTGAACTGCACACACAGATACAGACACACACACACACACACACACACACACACACACACACACACACACAGAGTAAATGGAAAAATTAAAAGAAAATAAAGATTACAAAATACACATGTCTAATCAAAATTTTCCTTGTAATAATGTATTCTATTTGGACTGTCCTATTGAGATCTAATATCTGGTTAAGCTAGTTCAGCTTGCCTCACTCTGGGGTTTATATACTTCTCTTGATCAAAAATGAAAAGAAAAAAAAAAAAGCATCTGTTTGTGAACAAAATGTGATATTTTTCTTGTTTTTTTTTGTTTGTTCCCTTTTTGAATGTCCTGGTTGGTCATGTTTATAGTACTTACTTTATAGAAGAAAAATTAAATGATATTTTTCTAACTTAGCTTATTTTAGACAATAAAAAGCCTGGCCAGAAGCAACCAAAGCAAGAAGTCATAAAAAAGTCAAAACTCATGTCACAGCTTCAGTTGCCTAACCTCTTACAAATCCACTGGAGAGGAAAAGAGAACAAAACGGAACGGAAAGGGAGGCACAACAGAGCAGGTTAAAAACTGGGAGTCGAGAAACCTTCCATCAGAGAAAAAGAAACAAAAGAAATTACAGCTATTCTTTTAATGGAGAGAAATGAAGACTTCGTATATATTGCAACAGAAGCAACTATAAAAGAAGAAAGAAAGCATGGCTAACCCTGTATTTGGAGGGAGGTGGAGTCGCTACCTGCCACAGTTACATAAGTGTTAATAAAGCCATAGCACTAGTTTTGAAACACTCGGGAATGCAAGACATATCTTAGAATTTTCTCCTCTGAGTCAGGAAGTTATTTGTCACATTCATTAACTTTTAATACTGAGTTAGTTTTCTAAACCCTCATTATTCCCCTTTAGAATTTTGTGAGAAACTTCTGTTTCACTGTGTATAAAAGTATGTCAAAATGATTAATATTAGTTTTAAATTTCTAGGAAAACTTATTTCTTTGTATTAAACATACTCAGGGGCATTCTCCCTTCCCTTGGGTTTATTTCATGTGAAATGACTAGCTACTATCTAGTGTGCATGTGTGTGTGTGTGTGTGTGTGTGTGTGTGTGTGTGTGTGTGTGTATGTGTGAGAGAGAGACAGACAGAGAAAAGCATATGTATTTGTTCATGTGTGTGCATGTATATCATTCAGTCAACATGCATGTAGATGCATTTATTTCCCAGAAGTTTGATGATACTTAGTAATTTTTGCCTAATAATAAGGTAGCCTTTGTTCCTGCTTGTCTGGCACAATCCAGTTTATGTCTGTTGCTCTGGCATGATTATTAGTAGTATCTGTTTTCACTCTTCAAAGTATCTGATTTTAACCAAGAAATTGTGTAGTTACCCTAACCTAATATTGAGGCATTGTGAGAGACAAACATGTCAAGTGTTTGTGACAAACCCACTAGAATTTTTAACGTATTTCCGTCATTCAACTTATGGTGAAACCTTGGTCACTTACTTATCTACTCTGAGACCAATCTTTGCCATCAGGAGCATATGGCTAACAATAGCTCATTGAGATAATATCAGGACAATGGTGTTATGTCTGGGTAGGCACACAAATGGGAATACTAGGACTACCGTATAGGATTGCTATGCATTTACTCAGGTGATGGATTTATGCTTAGTAATTGGCATTTTGGTACTAAGGAAACACCCATTAATTGCATGCACCCATCCCTATTGCCTCCAGCCCCAGCAAAGGAAACTGGCCGAAAACATTAGACATGACCTATTTCTCCCTCCCCACTTCACACTCATGCTGCTTTGTGATGCTGCATCTGTGGGAGATGCTTAGGAATTTGTCAGGTACCCCCAACAGGAATTATTATCACTTTGTGACACCTTAGAGTGCTTTATTGTACTAACAGGACAGCATTTGATCCAACCACAGAGCAGTGTATGTGAGCTTACTTACTGTAAGAATGAATGATTGATAGCATTGCAAAAGTCCACTCAGTGTAGAACATAAATTTCTACCCCTGGGCATTCTGGGAAGAATTCAGATCCTTCTCTGATGTGAGGAAGTTGCCTTTAAGTCCCCGTCTTCAAGTGGATTTCATGTATTGAGCTATCCATTTATACTTCAAATTTTTCATTTTTAAGGATTTAATAGTATTCATCTCATTGTGTCAGATAGTGAATTCTCAGGTTGTATCTCACTTGGTGATAGACCTCTGCCTGTGGTACTGCTTATACCCTTGTGTGAGAAGATGAGAAAGAGCAAGGGGCTTCTTAACTACACCCAAATACCTCAGAAGTAATTCTTATTTACATTCCAACTTTCTCTCTCTCTCTCTCTCTCTCTCTCTCTCTCTCTCTCTCTCTCTCTCTCTCTCTCTCTCTGGCTGGTTGTGTGTTCATGGGGAGTGTGTGTGTGTGTGTGTGTGTGTGTGTGCAATTGTGTGTATGTTCTTGAGTCTTGAGGCTAGAGGATAACCGTGGATATTGTGTGGTTTGAAAGAAAATGGCCCCATTGGAAATGGCACTATTAGGAGGTGTATCTTTGTTGGAGTAGTGTGGCCTTGTTGGAGGAAGGGTGTCACTGTGGCTCTGGGCTTTGAGGTTTCCTATGCTCCATCTATTCCCAGTGTCACAGCTGACTTCCTGTTGCCTGAGATAAAACTCTCAGCTGCTTCTCCAGCTCCATGTCTTCCTGCATGGCACCTGAGACAATGATAATGAACTAAACCTCGGAACTGCAGGCCAGCCCCAAGTAAATGTTTTCCTTCATAAGAGTTGCCATGGTCATGGTGTCTTTTCATAGAGCTAGAAACCTTAGCTAAGACCTTTGATGCCATTTCTTGGGGTCATAGTGGGTTGGGACTCACTAAGCAGGCGAGGATGGTGGACCAGCAAGCTCATTGGAGATGCTTATCTCCACCTCCCCGGAGCTGCTACTACAGGTTTCTACCAGGTATCTGACATTTCCTACGAGTTCTGGGGAGTAAATTCAAATCCTCGTGTTCTGTGACAAGCACTTTGCTGACTGAGCATCTCCCAACCCTGGGAGTATTATTTGGTGCCTTGGAGCCTC